GTTCAAACATAAGCAAGAGGAAATTACATTAAGAAGTGAAAATGCAGAATTTCAAGTGATAATGATGGAGGTGGAAAAGGTACGAAATTTATTCTCGAGGCAACAGTATGGAGTTGTTGGGCGGTTGTATTCCATTGCTGAGAGAGAAGGGGAGGAAATCCCAAGTCAAATCACTGAAATTGTTAATCAATTTCCTGTGATATTTGAGGAACCAACAAGGCTACCACCCCCTCGAACTCATGATCACCACATACCTTTGAAAGAAGGTGCTCGACCCTTCAAGATAAGGCCATATAGATGCCTCTTCATCCAAAAAATAGAGATTGAGAAACTAGTCAAAGAGAAGCTGGATAGTGGCATAATCAGACACAGCAATAGCCCCTTCGCTTCACCAGTCCTCTTAGTCAAAAAGAAAGATAGGTCATGGCGATTTTGTGTGGATTACAGATAGTTAAATAACCTTACTATCAAAGATAAGTTTCCCATGCCTCTAATTGATGAACTTTTAGATGAGCTTAATGGATCTAAATTCTATTCTAAGATTGATCTCAGGGCTGGGTACCACCAAATCAAGGTTACAGAGGCTGACATTCATAAAACTACTTTCAAAACCCACCAAGGCCTATATGAATTTAAAGTGATGCCTTTTGGCCTCACCAATGCGCCTGCTACTTTTCAGAGCCTCATGAATGACGTGTTAAAGAATCAGCTGAGGGATTATGTATTGGTTTTTTTTTATGCCATTCTAGTTTACAGTCAAGACCTATCCTCCCATTGTTACCATCTCAGATTAGTACTAGAAATTTTACAGAAGCAACAATTATATGTCAAGAGATCTAAGTGCAGCTTTGGGCAAAGACAGATGGAGTATTTAGGGCATATAATCAATCAGGATGGGGTAGCAGCAGACCCTATCAAGGTCGAATCAATGAGGCAGTGGCCTAAACCAATGAACATCAAGCAGTTACGAGGGTTTCTAGGCCTCGCAGGTTACTATGGGAAGTTTGTCAGTGGCAATGGAATCATAGCCAAACCTCTCACTGACTTGCTTAAGAAAGACAATTTCCATTGGTCAGATGCAACAGATTCAACTTTTGTATCATTGAAAGAAGCAATGAGCTCCACCCCAATATTGGCTCTCCCTGATTTCAGCCAACCTTTCATAATAGAAACTGATGCATGTCAAAGTGGTATAGGAGCCGTGTTAATGCAAGGTAGAAGACCTTTGCCTTATTTGATTAAGACGATGGGAGTCAGGAACCTGGGACTAACTATTTATGAGAAAGAGTTATTAGCCTTAGTTACTGACCATCAATCCCTCAAGTACCTACTTGAACAAAGGATCACTACTCCACTCCAATAGAAGTGGCTCACCAAACTCCTTGGCCTCAGCTATGAAATTGTTTATAAAAGAGGGGTGGATAATGTTGTGGCAGATGCACTCTCAAGGAGACACGATGAGAATCCTGAATGCTCAAGTATATCAGTAGTCACCCCTGCCTGGATTGAAGAAGTTATTGGAAGCTATAAGGAGGATAAGGAAGCAGAAGAAAAGATCCATTCACTGTTACTAAATCCAAAATTTGAACCTAACTTCACTTATGAAAATGGATTGTTGAAGCATAAAGCAAAAATATATATTGGTACTGGAGGAGAAATTAGATCTAAGCTAATTCAGAACCTATATGGTTCACCAGAAGGAGGCCATTTGGGCATTCATAGTAGCCTTTATAGAGCAAAGCAGCAGTTTTGTTGGCCAAAAATGAATCAGGAAATTAGACAGATGGTGCTACAGTGTGAAGTGTGTCAAAAGTGCAAGGGAGAACACGTACCTTACCCAAGTTTACAGCAGCCCTTGCCTCAACCTCTGCACTCATGGAGCCACATCAGCATGGATTTCATTGAGGGATTAGCTAATTCCAGGGGAAAAATTACCATCTTGGTTGTGGTGGATAGATTTACAAAATATGGACATTTTATGGCCATTGCACATCCTTTTACAGCTTCATCAGTGGCAAAACTCTTCCTAGACAATATCTACAAGTTACATAGGATGCCTCAAAGTATAATCTCTGATAGAGACAAGATCTTTACCTGCAAATTCTGGCAGGAGCTCTTTCATCTATTAGGTACTAAGCTTCAGTTCAGCTCTACCTACCACCCTCAAACAGATGGGCAAACTAAAAGGGTCAACCAATACTTGGAGATGTATTTGAGGTGTATGGTTTACCACCACCCTAAACAGTGGGAAAAGTGGTTGGCTTTGGCTGAGTGGTGGTACAATACCACATACCATATTACCATTCGAATGACCTCGTTTGAAACTTTATATGGTATGAAGCCCCCTCAATTGGCGCTAGGGCCCTATCAACAGTCTAATGTAACAGTAATAGATGAATTGCTCCAAGAAAGGTATGAAATGGACCAGCTACTAAAAGAGAACCTATCACAGGCGAGCGCTCACATGAAACACTACGCTGATCGAAATCGAACAGAACGGTCCTTTGAGAAAGGGGATTGGGTTTTCCTTAAGTTACATCCTTATACCCAGCAATAAGTAGAACGCAGACCTCACCATAAGCTGGGTGCTAAATACTTCGGCCCGTATCAAATTGTTAAGAGGATTGGAGAAGTGGCTTACCAGTTGGCCTTGCCTGAGGGATCGAAGATTCACCCAGTATTCCATGTGTTTTTGTTGAAGAAACAGCTTGGAGATAACATTATACCGGTATTGCAATTACAAGAAGGAAACTTTGCCTCAAAACAGAATCATCAACCTCTTTCTATTTTGCAATCTAGAGTGGCACAACGCAAGAATCAGTCAGCAATACAATGGCTTATACATTGGTCAAATTCATCGCCAAAAAATGCTACCTGGAAAGATGCTGATGGGGTAAAAACCCACTTTCCTATTTGTGGATCTTGGGGACAAGATCAAAGTGAGATGGAGGGTTGTTATAGAGGAAGCACCTAGGGAAAGAAGGGCAAAAGGAGCAAAGGAGGAAGAGGAAACTTAGTAAAATCAAAATCAGACGGAAAGAAGGAAGAAAGAAATGGAACTGGATTACCTAACGATTGAACTGAGGAAACGGTATCATATCAGTTAAGAAAAACAGTGTCGTTTACTTGTAATTAAAATATAATATTTTGTAAATCGTTTTGCAATTTTGTTTGGCCAAAACACGCTTCCTGACACACTTTCTGCCGGTGTATATATCTCCATATATTCTGGTAGAAAAGGAACGAATATTGTTCCATAAATTTTGTTAGTAATGAATTGATTCTCCAATTCAATTCACCTCTCATCTCTTCTCATTTTATCATCATTTTCTCCCACCCCAAATTCTGTTTTTCTTCTTTGTTTCGGCTATTATTCAACTGGCTTCCATTGGTAAAAGTTCCAGAGAGTTGCGGTTAAGGAGAAGCTAAAATTTGAAGTTCAGCCCATGACATTAGAGATGCTCTCAACCCGGTGAGAGTAAGGCCCACTTGGTGCTCCCTTGCCTTGAGAGATTTCTTGTGATTTCCTTGTGTTTTTAGTTTGATTCTTTAATTATTCTTGTGGAATTGAATTAAAACATTTTGTTCTTTATATTGGTCTTGCTCAAATCGGGTTTTGGAAAGCATTCAATTCGGGTTTTGGAGAGCTTTCAGTTTGTGGCTGTTTGGGTTTTCTACTCGGTTTAAGTCTTCCTTTTTGTAGCTCTCTATCTGCTCTTTACACTTGGTTCTCTTGGTTTCTCTTGTTTGACTATTTTGATTTGACTTGTATTTTCAGTGGGATTTATTTCAGCTTCGGTTCTCAGCTGCTTTTGGCTGGGTTTCTTCAATATATTCGGCTTATCTTGGTTTTCTTCAACTTCTGTTCCTCGGACTGCTTACATCCTGGTTCGATTTCAGTTTGCTGTGGTTTTTTGCCTATTTCTTCAGCCTGGTTTGGTTTCTATTTCATCCTTGTGTCTGCTTTTTCTTTGACTGGTTGGGTTTCTCGGTGTTCTGGTTGCTTCTTGGGCTGCCAGTTGCTTTGTTTTGCCTGTTTTCTTCTCCTTTAGGCTGGTCGTCTTGGTGTTCTTCAGTTTGCAGCCTTGTATGTATCTTGTGCATATTGTCATGTGATTGAAGTTTGAATTTTGGACAGCCTACTTGCCTGACTTCTGCCTTGGTCAGATTTTGTTCTGTGTTTTTTCAACTTCTACTCTCTGTCAATGTACTTGTGGCTGACTTTTTTCTGGGTTATTGGTTTGGGGCAATGTAAAAAATACCTTTAAAATTAGAAGTGTTTTGAAAAATCATATGAAAAGTTTTTTGGAAGTAAAAAATACTGTGTAAAATTAAAAAGTGACACAATATCACTCTTTTATAAAAAGTGTATCACTTCTTTAAAAAAGTGACTTCTTTAAAAAGGTGACGCATTGTCGCTTTTAAAAGTTTAGTATCACTTTTTTTTTTTTTTAAATACAAACAATGCAACTTTTATTAAAAAAATGATATTTGCTACTAAAATAAATGATAGAAATTAAGAACGTGGCTGAAAAAAGGTGACAAACACTAAAAAGAATGTGACTAAAAAAAGTGACAAACATTAAAAAAGGGACAAAAATTCAAAAAAAGTGACAGAAATTCAAAAAAATGACGAATTCAAAAAGTTGCACAAATTGAAAAAGTTACACAGATTAAAAAAAGTAACAAACATTCAAAAAAACAAAATAAAAAAAAATGTGACAACTAAAAAAGTGACACATTAAAAAAAACGACATATCATAATCCACAGTTTTTAATATAGCCAAGTTATCACACAAAATTTTTCAATATAATGACACAAATTCAATATACGACGAACATTGGTAGTTAAATCACAAGCACATCAATTACAATAAGAACACAAGAATTTACAAGTTGGAAGTGATGAAAATTCAAAAAAGTGTCAAATACTAAAAAAAGTGACAAAAAGTCCAAAACTCGACATCTTAAATTTCAATGAACAATTGGAGACATTGACATAAGCTTATATCCAACATAAAAACCAAGTTCTTATTCAAAATGCATGACATATATACATTACCAACACATGCAATCTTTGTTGAGAAAGATAAAGAGCATCCTGCATTGGTGTTATTGAGTTCAATTATCCCGATGAAAAGAGTAAAGTTCGATTCAAATATTACAACTTTAAAAGGAATTAAAGGTTATAATGTGTAAAGGTGTGTCACTAGCTTTTGATGCTTGTTTGGTTACTATAATAATCGTTGCTACTTCAAGCAACTGTGCTCAACTGCTCCTGCAATAATAATAAAAATTAGGAGTGAAATCGATAATACCAACCCAAATAAAATGGAGACTAGAAAACACTTTTGTATACCTCTACATGAACAATCTCTTGGGCACCACAAAAGCATCCAAGTGTTGAAACTCTTGATTTTAGTTGTACCTACAAGCATCACAAATTGGATCTCTAAGACAATCTGTTATTCAACTTAAAACCGAAGCAATTGAAAAGAGCAGGCAAAATAATAATAATAATAATAATAATTGAACTGCTCTGCAATATGATTGTAGATACAGATTATTTGAAACATTGTTGATTCGAAACCAATGAGGAAATGGAATTTTGCAAGAATATTCGAAAAAAAGGGACCAAAAAAATTCTCCACTACCGTTGAGAAGAATAACAAATATGATTCTTACACAAAAAAATTGGTCAATTTTTATAGAGAAATCATATTTCTTGAGCTCAAAGATCTTAACCTCTTCCTTTACGCCGTTAACATAAGTTCCAGATTATAAAATGAGGAAACAAAAATATATAGAAACCTTCATTTCTCAAACCTTATCATGTACCAGAAATCAACGAATTCCAAACAATCAAGTTCCTCAAGCTCATCCGATCAAAAATCCCTCGTCTCGATATCGCCCTTCTTAAAATACCCATATATCATCACTAACCAAACATAAAAATTCCATTACGTCATTTTCTCAAACATTTCCCACGCAGAGAATCAAAGTTATATCTAATACATATCTAGCAATTCACAAAATTGGTAAAGCCGCTTCTTGTTGGAACAACGAGGTCGCCTCTAGGCTCTTGGAAGTAGGAGAAGCCGATCCGCCCAGAGGTGATTGCAGCTGCAAAGGAGTTGCGACGAATGGTGGTGTTGCCATAAACTTGTAAGAAAGCCCCATTGGTCGATGGAGGTGAAAAGATGCACCTATATATGCTCGGTAGGCTGCTGGCCCAAATATAGTGGGGGCGACATCCTTGACATCACCATGTTTCTACTCTTTTCTGTCAATTACGGTAATGAAAATGGGAAAAGGTTGAAGAAACACCACCATGTTTCTCTCTTTACGTTTTGAGGTTTGAGTCTTTTGGATGTATTAATTAAGTTTCAAATTGCTTAATTAGTTTTAAATGGTATTATTCAATTTTGTAACTTTTGGATCGTATTGGGCCTAATTTCCTCTATTGGTTTTCTGCCTGACCCGACCCTTTCACTTTCATTTTGGGCCGTTTTTACTTGGTTTTTCTGGGCTGCTCCATTTTCTCTTGCTGGACTCCTCCTGTTCTCAGCCAATTTGGGCCTTGTTCTGGGTTTTTCTGCTATGGGTAAGAAGAAAGCTGGTACCCTTAATTTTTCTGGACTGGCCCCACTTAAACCGCAGGCTGCTCGACAGGCTCAAATTGTTGGGAGTGATCATGCCATTTCAATGATTAATTTGGTTGACGAAAATAAGGTAAACCTACCCTCACGAACTATATCTCTTACTCTTGGGGAAGATGATACGGTTTCTGAAAAACCAGATTCTGATTCACATACGGGGAAATTGATGAATGAAAATTATGATAACATTGCTGAAAATGATGGTGTGATGGAAAATAAAGCACCATGGGTTAATCTTTTTAAAAATAATAGGAAAATGGAGGAAAACATAAAGCTGAAATCTTTCAATATTCAATCGGAAGAAGTCATCTTGTGTGAGTTGGATGAAGACAATATTGAGGACTCTTGGAGATTTGTTCTTGTTGGATATCTTGCCGGTAGATTTTCGGGGAAAGTGGCACTACTACAATTATGTGATTCATGGAAGATTGATTATAAATATTTTGTGCATGCGAGTAGTTGGTTGGTGTTCAAATTTGAAACAAAAGTGGATAGGTTCAATGTGTTGCATGGGGTCCATACTTGGTATATGAGAGACCGTTAATGCTTAAATTCATGCCACGTTACTTTGGTTTCGATGACAAAGATGTTAGCACTATGCCGGTTTGGATAAACCTTCCGAGATTGTCTTTGGAATTTTGGAACACCAATGCCTTGGGTAAAATTGTTTCCAAGGTTGGAAAACCCATCTTGACTAATAAGGTCACGGCAACTAGAGGTCACCTCTCTTATGCAAGAGCTCTAGCCGAAATTGATGCTTCTATTGAACTCATACGAGAAGTAAAGATTACACTTCCAAACGGCACGTTGAAGGAACAAGAAATTATTTTTGAACATGAATTGAAATTTTGTGGTTCTTGTAAAATATTCGGTCACTTCGCTTTGGGTTGCAACAAAAAAAATTGTCAAAAGGGAAAAATGTGGTGAAATCAAAAGGCCCTATACGGGCTGCACAAGTAAATAAAGAGCGGGCTGGGAATTCATCCAATTCACAGCTCAATTCAGTCGAGACAGCTTCATGTTCACTTGGAAAAGGGGCGCAGAAACCTATGGTTCTAAATGTGTTACATGGGTAGCCTCCTATTTGTAATATAGAGCAAATGCAACCTGTTCTTGTGGCCAACCAAGAGGGGCATATCTTGGACCAGGTTGAGCCTCCGTTTATTGAGATTGTGAACAAGAAAAAAGGGCTGCTATTGGGAAAAAAAATCTGCACATGATGGCCTCTCAAAATTTGGAGCAGATTTTTCATTAATTTCTAAGGAGGCAGATTTAAATAAATCTAGAAATGAAAAGCTCAAAGGAAAGGTTGATGAGCAAAGAAGGCCAAGGATCAAAGTTGACAAGAAGAAGGGTGCATCCTTGCTTCTACATCGTGAAGATCGCTTCTTGGAATATTATGGGTATGAATCAACCCCTAAAACAAAATGGGATTCGAGAATTTATCAAGCAATATTGCATTGATATTATGGGTATTTTGGAGGCGAAATTGGTTGATCGAAAATTGAAGAGAATTTTGTGGAATAAATTTGATGGCTTCATACATGTAGACAATTTTTGCACTCATAAAGCTGGACGTATCTTGAATTTGTGGAATCCATCCAAAGTGTTTTTGAATGCGATGGAGGTTCATTCACATTCATTGTAAAGCTATTTTCAAGGTAACATCTTATACCTTTTTTGCTAGTTTTGTTTATGGATTTCATACTTTGGTTAACCGGCGGCCACTTTGGAATAACATTATGGAATTCAACGCTAAAGTTTCGTTGCCTTGGATGATTCTTGGTGACTACACTCAAATTTGATGAGAAATGTAATGGAGTGGACATTACTCCTTATGAAATTAAAGTTTTGTAAATCGTTGCCTACATGTGGGTCTTACGGATGTGCGGTCCATTGGTTGTTATTACACATGGACTAATAACTCGGTTTGGAGCAAAATTGATAGGGCAATGGTCAATGATATTTGGGTGCAAAATGGGGCATATGTTGATGCAAATTTTCTACCTTCCAGTTGCCTTTCCAACCACTCCCCTTGCATTGTTTCCGTTCATGACCATGTTAGGGGTGCTAACATATGGACCAAGCACGAGGACTTTCACAATCTTATTCAAACTTGTTGGAACTGTAATGTGCGGGGGATAAAACAATTTATCCTTTGCAAGAAGTTGAGCAAACTAAAGGGAGCTTTAAAGGAGCTTAATATTAAGCATTTTGGGCACATTTCGACTAGGGCAAATGAGGCTAAAAATGAATTGGAGGCTACCCAATTACAACTACATAATCAGCCCATTAATGAAAATCTTCAACTTATGGTTGCTAAATTGAGGAAGAAAGCCGTTGGTTTATGTGAGGGGGAACGTAACTTTTATTATCAAAAGGCAAAATGCATCTTTCTTAAGCAAAGTGATAAATGTACAAAGTTCTTTTACTCAGTGGTTAAAAGGAACTCAATGAGGAATTTTATAGCTACTATACTCAAAGAGGATGTGATGTATACTACATCACAAGATCAAGTTGCTACGGAATTTGTAAAATTTTACACTATTTTATGGAAAAAACTGCCCAACTTGGCGTATTGAGATGGAAATTGTAATAAATGGTCCCTTGGTTTCATTAGAATAAGGTAACTCTTTGATTCGAGACATTTCTTATGAGGAGATCAAAGAAGCACTCTTTGATATTGGAGCTGATAAGTCTCCCGAGCCGGATGGTTATACTTCTTGTTTTTTGAAGAATACATAGAAGACTATTGGTGATGAGTTTGTTGGAGCTGTCATGGAGCTCTTCTCTTCAGGTTCCATCTGTTAAACCAAGTAATCACAGTATTCTTCAATCTCCTTCATGCAAGACTACTCCTTCCATATCAGTATGGGTTCCACAATCACCTCCAATGTGATCTCAGCATCCCATTGATCTCTCCACAATTCTGTCAATCATAACAATTGTATATTCCATAACTTTAGTGTATTCCATATTTTTTTATACTAAGCTCTACTATATAAAGCCATTGTAAAACACAGAAGAATCAAGTTGGCCCTTTCATTTCATCTCATATATCACTGCTGGTTTTACAAATTCTCTGTTGTTTTTAACTTGGTATTAGCGCATCAAGGCTCACACCTATTTCGATCCTACCGAAACAACTTTCGCACCATGATTTCTAATTTCCAATAACCACTTCAAACACTAATACACCCCAATTTCCCAAACTCGAAGGACCCAACTACCTTACCTGGAGAATTCAGTTTCTGGCTTTCTTAAAAAGCCATGATAAACTTGGCATGGTGGACGGCTCCATCGCCGTTCCTCCCAAGATACTCCCTAACAACACCACTAACCCGGCTTATGACACTTGGTCCAAATCGGACACAGCCGTTCTCTGTTGGCTCTATGCTGACTCTCTGAGAAATTAGTATCCACTGTCCTGAATCTAGAGACCTCAAAGCAAGTTTGGGACTCCCTCCAACCCCATTTCTCCTCTATCTCTCGCTCCCAAATTTCCCACCTCAAGCGCCAGATTCAAACAATTTTCCAAGGCAACAGCACCTGTTTAGCATACATTGAAGAATCAAGGTTGTTGTCAGATCAATTGTCAGTCGTCGAAAAACCCATCGATGAGCAGGACCTCATCACATACCTCTTGAGTGGCCTTAAACCCCTCTTTGCTCCATTCATCACCGCCTTCAATTTCGCCACCTGCAAAAAGGACTTCACCTTGGAGTATTTCCAAGCGGAATTTCTCAGCTTTGAAACTCTCATGGAGGCTCATCAACCCATTGCTTCAACAGAGACCTTTGCCTTTGTTGCTAACTGAAGCAAGAGATCATCCTTTGTTAAGAAACCAACCAAGTCCCCT